GTTCATGACAAGCTTCACAAATACCGCAGGTGTTGAAGAGGAAGAAATTTCGTCGTACTCCATCTGCGAAGCAGTCCGTTTCTTTGACCGTTGTACGTTCCGTGTGAAAAGAATGAGAAGATGGTTTTTATGGAGTTATAAAATACATCGTTAAGCGGAAATATCAGTTAATGGTAACAGAAAAGCAAAACTTTTCGACCCGTGAAGCAATCTTGTGTTAGCGAGGAAACTAACGAAGCACCGGAAATGAATTAGAATCGCTATCAATTTTGGTAGCTTGAAAATCATTTAGAAGGTAATTCGAGCTGACCGGATTACATGATGGAAAGCTCCTTGCGTAATCTAATCCGTTAATGCCGCGGTTCAGCTCGTGTTTACACCAGAGCTTAATTCTATCCTTACTAATGCGAAGCAGACATTGGCAGGTCATAGGTGATTGATGTAACTGGTTCAATATTGTAACTCAATGGCGTATGGAGGAGGGGTACGTAGACATACCGAGCTATTGGAAGAATTTTGTAACCGGAACCACTACAATGGTGATTAATATAACCAGTTCATTCATGGACGACCATAAAGCTACTCTACCGACGGCAACGGCACAGCCGTAACGGGTTGTGCACTGGGAGTTCCTCCAATAAATGTTCCTTTCTTCTGAGGAAAATGTCTGCTTTAACGGCAAACTAAGTTTCTTGTCTGGGAGGAAGAAATTTGATTTCTTCTTCAGGCATTTTTGTCAAAATTCGTTAGCTGTCTGTTGCTATAAGTAAAACGACTGAAAGTTGCGTACTTTTGCCAAGATAGATTTGCCAAGTTATTGAGTACTTATTGCTGCATTCTCATGTTTTCCATGAGACATAAAATTGGCATCGCAATCACATTGAAATATACATTCAAGTTATGAAGCAATCACCAATTACCCACAGTAAACCTCCTTGATCATGGAACTTGCCACACATTGTTTCAGACTAGGATTGCTGAATCAGTAGGGGTTAACCTCAGAACCGATAGATCCTGAGTTCAAGCCTCAGTCTGGGTCACTCGCCCTTCGTACCTTCAAAGCTGATAAATAAGTACCACTCTGTGGGAAGGAAGCAAGACACTACACACTGCGTTTGCCACATGGCTCTAGACTCTGCATCTAAACAAAGACACTCCTGGCTAATTGTATGGAAACGGAGGTCAGCACCACATCATCAACTTCATTAAAAAGGGGTGCCAAAATGGCGAATTATGAAAATGAAGGAAGACCGACATTCCAACGTTCACCAACTTTTCTTTTCACCGTAGAATACTTCCGAAAGATAAGAACAAACAGTTCCTACTCCGGTATATTTTCAGCCAAGTAGCATTCTAACATAAAAAAACAAATGTAACGGGAATTCTTATTTCTTCGGGATATTCGACAAATATGTTTAAATGATTTGCATATTCATGACGTTTAGTCTGTTTTTCCATGGCAGAGAGTGAGCCAAATGAATGATGAAAACTGGCGCTAACAGCAGCTTTTCATTTTGAAACAGCTCAATGTATGGCACTCTGATGAACTCAGGGTGCAAACCCAAATGGAAGAATTGGGGGCCACGTTGTTTTTCCCTGAGTCGTCACTCGTCTAAACGGAGAAAAGTACGGGATTTGGGTAAATAAATGTAATTAATGTGTTGGACCTGACAGATTACAAATTCAGATTATCATACGGTTAAAGCGCAAGACGCTTAAGGAAACTTTAAGCAGCCCAGAGCGCCCTGGTATTTGAGCACTCTTAGTGAAAATGAAATGATTATGGTTGAGAATGCAATAAAAATTTGATGGCCTACTCTATGCTCCAACATTGTCCCGACCTAAAATGGCGAAACCAGTGAAGTTGACGCATTCATTTCCTCGTATCTCTGAACTGTGGATGTTTGAAGTTTGTCATAATGCACCAATAGCTCTGCACATCGCTGGACCTCATTTGCTCTAAGTTGGTGGAAGTCGACAGACAGTTTCTTAGCGCATTAATATGCAACTTATGAACACAATGGTCAAAATTACGGTAATTATGCAAATCTGATGAGTGCTTCGTCTGATCGATTTGTTAGTTTTGTAAGCTGTTGATCATCGATCGCCAATTGATGATACCGTTAAGAGAACCGTACTCGAACGACAGTTAACTATGTACTAATTTCGGTATCCTATATAATTTGGGCCTAATAAAATGACCTGCCAGTTCTGATGACTGCCTTTCACCAGGCATATGGTGCATTTGCCTCAAAAATGAAAGCAAATTTCAAATATGGTCGCATTTCCTTGCTGGTTACTTTCCAATCGATTAATCTACATTGCCAGTTAGTTGTTGTAGCTACGCGATTGACAAAAATGTCGAAAAATGGAAGCGATAACTTGGCATAGCTTTTCAGTTAATTGGTATGCAGTGCAGTTCTCATTAGATACTGCATGATTGCTTCTGAAAGTTTAGCGTCTTGATGCAACACATGGCTTCAGGACGCGTTCTTCCCTGAGGCAGAATTTCCTTCTTCTGTCGACAGAGAAGTTTTGCTTTCTCTCTCCGCCCCACTACCATAGCCAACACCGTTAAGATCATTTGACAACTGACTGATGGTAACATTTTCATGTGACGTCATTAGGCACCTCAATCCACACGGTAATAGAAAACGGTTAGTAAGACTCAATGATATTTTTCTTACTCACTTTGCTGCTTCAGCATTTCTTCCATAAAATCCTCCTACAATGTCTTCAGGACTTTCAATGTTGAATACTTTTCAAAAGTTATGACTTTTCAGGTCTCATTCTGTTTCTGGATATCCCATCATTGCGGTCTGTTCAATTTTTTGAAATGAGTGTCTTATTTATGATTATGCGTTGAAAATGAAACAGTTTCGTGTTCCAGACGTCCGTCACTGCAGTTAGGATTTGCTCGGGCTTCGAGCCACGCTTTCATTGATTCATATTCATCTCTAATTGTTCATATTTCATTGCACTCAATCATTAATTTGACATTAAACGCCTGTTTTCATGTTTGCTGTGCCTAACGACGCTACAGCCATAAGAAAGTTTTTCGTTTAAGCATCGCTAATATCTTCCTTCCTCTAGGCTGTTACGTCGATTGACCTGTTCATATTTCTGCACCAACTAGTTTTTCCTGACTAAGCAGAAAAATGGAGTTTTTTACTAATCCGACTTCTGCGTTCCTTTGAGGTTTACAAGCTTCCTTCGGTCAGGCAGTTGGATGAATTCATCTGTTATCAGGTGAGACTATTGCCTGGTTTCGCCAAGAAACAAGCGGCCGGCGGACAACCGCAAAATCCAGGAGATAAATTGACTTCGATTCGTCAACGTTCCTTCTGGGGGACGGATGACGCGCGGCTAATTGGCTTCCATGGGAAAAACCAATTAGACGGTCACTATTACGACGTGACTGACGTCTGAACCTCGATCGTATTCTTTCATTGTGCACATCCCTGGGAAGTTGCCAGACACTTGTTCTGGTGATTTTCATTAACAAGGACTAGACTACGGTATTGCATTCCGATGGAAAGAGAAGCACCCAAAAGCACCCAAAACGAGATCGCTGGTGGTCAACATCGATGGCGGTCACTGGTGTGTGAAAATGCATAAAAGTGATCGTTAAAAGACAAAGAACGGGCGGGGCGGCAAACGTGAAAGCAAGTGTCCATTTCTGGAGAAATCGAAGGTAGACTTTTTCAGTAATTGCTTCTCTCTTTCTGCCCTTCATTCATGACGATGAATCCGTTCGATTTTCTATAACGCTGACTGGCGGACGACGAGTAGACGATGACACAAACTGTAGCGTTTAAAGTATTGGTCGTGCAGGAGACATCCATTGTCGCCGTTGTGTCGTGTGTGCGTCGTCGTCAACATCGACATCCCTGACAGACGACAGATGAACGACATGGCGATGGCAAGACGATGTGTGTCATCGTCGTGGCAATGTTTCGATGCTCTTCATAAAGGCGGCACGCCACCACGCGTTCGACTCTTTTCCAGGCGGTCAGTGGGCGACGACCGGCACTAGTGTCCAGTGGTCTCTGGCGACGTTCACACGTCAGGGTATTATGAACTCAGCGACGTTCATGCTCCTGCTGTACCTCGTTAAGACTCGTATCGTTCTGTCCACCAGCCGACTGTTCGAAGAGCTCGCGGATCGGAGAGCAGCCAGACTGGTCAGGGGAGGTAAAGAAGTTCGACAATTATTATAATCTGTTTACAACTGTTTGTGCTCTGACGACTGAGTCTGATGCGACAGTGTAACCGGCCAAGCACAAGACACGTTTTAATGCCATAAGAGGAAGCAGTTGAAAACTTTTACCACTTAATTACCGATTCTCATGAATACACAGCTTGTGCGAGATTCATGCCCATCACGCTTGAGCTGCTCTATCCATTCTTTACGTCATAATCAGTCGATGTCATCGCCATAACTATGCAGAGATGAAGGAATGGACTAAATCTAATTAGCGTTCCTCCTGGAGACTGCTTGAGGGACTTGGTTTTTATATTCACATCCTTCACGTCAAGCGAACCCGGATTAATCGATTCAGCAATCTCATGGGTAAAGACATTTTTCGACTGCAACTACCTGACATCTGGGCAGCCAGAAACTTGTTCTGAATGCATAAACCTTGGCTGCGATTAAACACAGGCAAAAAGCAACATTTGTAACTGCTAGATGTCGATCGCCGTTACGCTTCTATCATAATGCATGGCAACCTTCATTCGAGGAGATAGTTGAGCGACCGTGATTTGCATATTCATGAAAGCCATATCTGCGTCTGTGTTACTGCCGCTGGACGCGATCTCTTAGCTTTTTCCTATGCGTGCTTTTCGGAACTTGTTTGCGAGTGCCAGAACTCTGACAATGACTGACTGGTCTAGGCGAGATTTTAATGACGTCGTTTTGGGCTCAACTTTGGCCATGTCTATTTTCGTTCGAAATAATGCTTTGATAGAGCCGCTGCTTCATCGCTTATTTTTTTGTCAGCGGTTGGCTCTGACTTTGACCAATGGGGCTTGTCGCTTGAACGGAGCTGTTGAGTAATACGTCGTCTAAGGAATAGTCACAACCAAAGTTGCTAAGCTCCGTTTGTCAGACGCTGGCTTACCCAGAAACCGAAGCATTTGCTATTAACAGGCCAAGTCTTGTTAATGTGCTGCGCAATAACGATTATCGGTGAGTTCAATGAACTGACTTGTGCAGAGCCAGTTGCCTTGGAATCATTCACATCAGCCAGAACATACGATTAATGACGCGCCGAATAATCTGGATTTTATTTATGCTTATAATATGTTCAGTTGACTTTTTAGGCGGCCTCGATTGCGACAGTCATTATTTGCAGCTGGACTTTATTTGTGACCCGAATCATTTGCTCAGCCATACGGAAGCGGCTCTGCTCAACGAGACGATATCCAGAAATTTTACGCACTGTTTCATAAAGGACACCAGGCGGTCGAAGAGAGAAGTACTCAATAAGTACTCGATCGGCTTGGCACTGGCCAAAACGATACACGGCGCGGACCTGCATGACTGCTCAGAGAAAACAAAGTCAAGAATCGACCTGTTTGACCAACATCCTGAAACAGGGAAATTTGTTCATCTCGCCATGAAGCACCTCGCTATCCAGCTGAGGTATCAATGGACGCTTGAGCCATCGCTCTGCGAAACAG